AATACTAATTTGTTGTTGGAGGCTTGGTTAAAAATTTATTAACGTTTGAAGTTGCGTCTGTGAGACGGGAACCGTGCGCGCTGCACACTTTAACTTTAAACGTTAATAACTTTTTAATGAAGCCTTCATCAACAAATTGATATTCTTGATTTTCGTCTTATTTTGGCCTCTAGAATCTCCCATTAAAATTTTTCTCAGAAATAGCCGAACACCATGTATTGTTTGTAAGTATAATATCCGTAAAGACGAAACGCGAAAAAGACTCTAATTATTGTTATCTTGTTTAAAATTTAAGTTTATCAATAAATATCTCGCATTTTTTAAATATGTATATGTATGTTAAAAACGTAGTACTAATTAATTTATATTTTTCCTATGTTTAATTACTAACAACAAAATCCAACCTTAACAAGTACTCGTAAGTATAGATCCGCCATTGTGCATTATTATTAACGTTACTAGCCTGCAAAATGTACGAGTGATGACATTACCTTGGGGATGACTATGATCCAAACGTAGCACTTTTAACACTTTACCGACCGGTAACGGTTGATAAATCGTCTATCGGCCGGTAAGCGTTGGCCGGCAAAACAGTTGATTTATAGGCTCTCAGCCGGTAAACGTTGGTCGGTAAAACAGTCGATTAATAGGCTACCGGTCGGTAAAGTGTTAACATTAACGTAGACTCATCGACTATAGGAATAATGTACGCTTTTATAATCGCCCTCTGAAGATACTACCGTGTCTAATAAATTACTATTTCAATTTGCATCCAGATTATAACGATTGAATTCGTCAGGTCTTCTCAAATGCTTCAGAAATCGCAACGTTGCTTTCCAACGCGACAAGATCGTGGTCAGAAGCAGTTTTACAACGAGGACTTCGCTCGACCCGGCTTAACTCATTCAAGTAGTCGCAATGGTTATTAATTATCCGGAGGAGGGCATCGTTTAAACGGAGAGCGACGTCTGTGCTCCGACGATCAGAGTTTCAGCCACACGTAGTACAATGTTCCCGCTTTGTATATTGTTGATGAGGTCAGGATATAAAATAATAAACTCGGGCACAAAAACGAACAAAATAGGAATTTATACAAAAGCAAAAATATGGCTGTACACAAACATTCCGTTGGGCATGTAACGATGTAATGCGACGGTCGCTCGTCGCAACGAAACATTCGAGACAAACTCAAAAGATTTATAGCCCGAAAACATTTTTTATTTCATCGAAAAATTTGTCCATTTGCTGAACTTTTTTCTCGAAAATGTGCAGGATTTCGAGGGTATGTCTATTCACCAAAAATGATTGTAATTGACCCCCGCAAACGAAAATTATTTTTCCAAAACGATTTGAAATTTTATTTTTCGCCGAAAAATTTGTCCAACTTTCTGAATTTTTCTCTTGAAAGCACGTAGGATTTCGGGGATTTGTGTATTCACCAAAAATGGTTGTATTCAACCCCAAAACCTAGAAATAATTTTTTTAGAACGATTTGACAAATTTGTTTTTTCCCAAAAAATTTCAGCACCGATCCGAATTTTTTTCTCAAAAGTGGGTACGATTCCGGGGATATGTGTATTCACCAAACATGATTGTAATCGATCCCCGCAAACAAAAATAATTTTTTCAGAATGGTTTGAAATTTTTTAATTTAATTTTTTAATAACTTTTTAACGAAGCCTCAATCAACAAATTGGTATTCTTAATTTTTGTCCTATCTACCTTCGCGTCGAGGCTCAAAATTTTTCAAACGATCCCCGTAAATCCATTTGTCTGCCGTTGCAAAACGTATCGATTATCATGGAAACGCGTAGAGGCGTTTGTCGTTGACATAAATTCGCGGGCGATTTATTTTCCGCGCATGCACGCTTCAAGTATTTGACTCACGCACCCTTCAACCGAATGGTGAGAGCGAGAGAGCGAGCACGCGACCAAGGGGAAAGACGAAATAGTTCCGTGAACGTCGCATCCTCCGTCAATCGTCGGCTGCATGCCAATGAACTGGTATCGAACAGCGGCAGAAATTGAGGGCTACGATCGCAGAGCGCGTCCGCTGCGCATGCGTCGCTGGAAATCGAGTTTCTCGCGGGAATCCGTCTGCATCGTGCCAAAGGAATGTCCTTTGTCAACAACGATCTGCATTAACAATGCCAGCCGTCGCCTTCCCCGTTACATTCCTCACTGGGAACCGTACGAACCATAGTTTTCAAGTTTACTCGGTTCAGAAGTTTACATTCGCAACAATGACAATAGATTGAACCCGTACAATGAGAAAAACCCCATAAAAACAGCCATAACTCTTACGACAGTGAATATATTTCGATGAAATTTTTTTTCTGAACTAGTGCTCATGGGTACCTACAAAAAAGTATTAAACAACTTTTCTGTACAGCGTCAAACAAATTGATTAAAAATGAAAAAACGAATTTTTACGAAAGATCGACAAGGGGCTAAATTTTTCGGCAAAAAAAAGAATTTCGAATCGTTCTAAAACAATTACTTTTAGGTTCTGAGGTCAAATACAATCATTTTTGGTGAATTTACATACCCCCGATATCTATCTATCTATACTATTATATAAAGAGAGAGCCGATTTTTATGTTCGCGCAAAACTCAAGACCTATTGAACCGATCTTCCTCAAATTTTGACACGTTATTCCTGCATGCTCTAGGACGGACATAGGCTATGTAGCATGTCTCAGAAGCGCGTTATTAACATGTAATTTATGTGCAAAGATTTCATGTGTACGACTGTTTGGCGGACCACGCGACCCCCGTATACGACAGTCTACTTGCGCGCGCATGCGCGTATTCGGCCCGCGCGATACCTCGCCCGTGAGCAGTACTGCGATGTTACCGCCAGGTGGCGAGGCTTCTCGAGCGCTTTCTCGCGAGAGAATTGCATCATCGCGGATATGTATGTCAGGACGATCGTCTGGTCATAAATTGCTTTTGCATAAGGTGTAGTTTCTTATATCTTTGCATATTAAATGCATTCTATAGTTTTTTGAGGATTAAAATTTCCCATAAATGCATAAACATCCGCAGTCTATTGAAAAATGAATAGATTGTGCTAGAACTTGCTGAAATTATTAAATCCTATGGATTTTCATTTTTGTAATCCACGAAAGACCGAGAAGATCTACGACACGATGATCGCAGACTTGCTTACGGACCAAAAGTTATGTTTTAAGTACTTTCTATAAAGATAAGTAGTTTCCCGTTACTAAGAGTACAAAAATGGTAGTAACTTGGAAACAAGATCAAATAGAATGCATGTTTTTATTAGACTACACCCTGTATATACCCTCTTGATGCATTACCGATCATAAATATTCAAACGCAAAACTGAAAATTTCACAAATTTTAAACTACGATAACTTCGTACAAGATAATCACACAGCAAACTTTATAGAGTCACTTTTAAAGGTTGAATTTTATACATTCATATTCTTAAATTCATTTCTTTCAAGTGACTTTTTACACTTGGAGAAATGTGAGAAAATGAAAATGATTTTTTTCCAAAAGTATGAAATACATTCAAATCTAGTTCTAGAAAAATTATTTTTGGTTGCGGGGGTCAATTACAATCAATTTTGGTCATTAGACATACCCTCGAATTCCTACCCACTTTCGAGAAAAAAATTCGAGGTGTGAAATTTTTCGAAAAAATTGAAAAATTTGAAACAGTTTTAGAAAAATTATTTTTGTCTGTGGGGGTCAATTACAATCAATTTTGGTCATTAGACATACCCTCTAAATCCTACCCACTTTCGAGAAAAAAATTCGAAAATGTGAAATTTTTCGACAAAATTGAAAAATTTCAAACCGTTCTGGAAAAATTATTTTTGGCTGTGGGGGTCAATTACAATCAATTTTGGTCATTAGACATACCCTCTAAATCCTACCCACTTTCGAGAAAAAAATTCGAAAATGTGAAATTTTTCGACAAAATTGAAAAATTTCAAACCGTTTTGGAAAAATTATTTTTGGCTGTGGGGGTCAATTACAATCAATTTTGGTCATTAGACATACCCTCTAAATCCTACCCACTTTCGAGAAAAAAATTCGAAAATGTGAAATTTTTCGACAAAATTGAAAAATTTCAAACCGTTTTGGAAAAATTATTTTTGGCTGTGGGGGTCAATTACAATCAATTTTGGTCATTAAACATACCCTCGAAATCCTACCCACTACAGATCAGAAAACCCTCTAAATTTGCAAAAAACGGTTTTTGTATTTCGATTTGTTTTATTATTTATTATTCAATTTTCAATTTTGTTGTAACCTTTGCATTTAATGTAGCATATGTCACATTCATTCGATCACAAAAAACAATTTCCTCGTAATTAGAAAATTCATTCTAGTATTAAACTTGTTTTTAAATTAAAAAAAATAAACAATTGTAAAGTGTACAGTGTTTGAAAGAAAACACACTTTTTTCCTTAAATAAACTTTATATCGACCGGAAAAAGATATTACATTATTTTTATGAAAATAAAAATTATAATTTTAGGTTCATACGTATAACGAATAAAATAAGCTATCGATTTGAAATTAATCGATGTTTAATTATTTTAGACTCCAATTCGAAGAATGTGGTTTAAAAAAAAATGTTCAAAAATTTTAACAAAATTTCAAGGTATACATACTACAAAATAGCTCATAATTCTGTAATTTTTGCGAAATTCGATTATTTTGAATTTCGATGAAATTGTTGGTAGCTTATTTTTAATTTACATAACGAGAAATCAATTTTTTTAATCAGCTACATGAAAATCCCCCTTTAATACCAAACTTGTCAACACACCCTGTATATCTATCCATTTTTACCATAATCAATTTTCAAAGAAACACATATTTCATAATATAGAATATTATTGTTGTTCAGAATCGTCTCAGCTACCCCCCATTTCCGGTTCTTACACTATTTACGGGACACCCTGTATAGATAATAGGCAATTTGACGGGTAAAAAAATATAGTTTCTTTTATTTAGGAATGATATGACTATTTTTATTCTTTCACTAATTTCGTAGTAACTCCCAAAATGGAACTGAAGATTCTCTTCTGCGCGCGCGTGAGAAAACAAGAGAGCGGGAAGCGGGGATGCGCAAGCAGAGTTGCGCAGTGGCAGTGTTAGACGGACAAGCGAGTGGAAGCGTGTGCATAAACGAGGGAGAGTTAATGCATTGCTTTATAATTACAATTAAAGACACTTCTATTATTCAGTACGTGGCACGCTACAGAGAGAACTATTTTCCAACCCAATACAACATCTTTCATCTTTGTTATATGCTATTTATAATACATTGCAGGCTAACCAAAATTTAATAGTCCAGTTTCTTACAAAAACATATTCGTGGTTGGTAAGACAGACAACAATAAGAAAAGAAGTAAATATTGAAAAATATATTACACGTATCCCATAAAAAAAAGTCATGAAGTTAGATGGCGCTTAGATAATGTCGAAATTTTAAACGAAATTTGACATGGTCATTTGACCGGTCGCGGTAGGTTTACCGTTGTTTCTAAAATATTTAACGAAACATATCCGCAAAAATGTCAACGATTTATTCTGAAGAAACTTGCACATAGTCACGTTGCAGCAAAGTAGAAATATTTCACGAAACGCTTGAAATCACGCTTGCAACGTTCCCGGTGGCGTACGGGACGATAAAGAGGGAGCTACGGGCGAGGAAGACGGAGACGGAGGAAAAAAGGCATACCGAGAAACGTGTGGGTACGCTCGAAGATGTCACAATAGCAGTTGCACTGCGTGACAACGCGCCACGCGTCTTTTCCCTCCACCCACGCGCAATCTCTCGGCCCCTGTCTTTCCCACCCCTCTCCCTCTCACGCGCGGCGCTCCGTCTCCGTCTCGCCCACTCGAGTAAAAAGCTTAACGGAGGCACGGAAAGCTCAGTCGCTCGCGGACCGCGCTCCACTGCGCATCGTTCTCGCGCGAGTTCGACATGTCAACTCCGGTCGTGTGAATAATCAGGATTTAACCGAGATCCGATAGAACCTGTGGGTTATCAACCATGCTGTCTGTGGGCCTGCTGACGGCGTTGTACGCGATCGTCGTCGTCGCCAATCCTTTCCTCGACGCAGCGCAAGGTAACGATAAAACATAATTCAGTAAGCTTGGACTTGTAATTTATATGTTCGCGTATTAAGTGGAAAGTAAGAGGATACTAAGAAAGTAATAATTCCTTACGGCCGTGAGAGCCGTACGAAGATTTATTGCGAGACGTTCTAGGTTATGACAGAGGCATTCTTCAACAGGTTATTCGAAGTTTAATATTGCTAAACTATAGAAGTGTTGGCGATATAAGTGTTTACGAAAAAGCGAATAATTTGTTTCTCATCAAATTTATCGATGTTAAACCTCGAATAGAGTTTTTGTCTCGCTTGAAATAGTTGTTGCTTTCCTCGAGTTTTATATTATCGAGCGAAATAACGAAGATTTATTGGTCGACGTTTCCGGTTATGACAGAGGCATTCTTCAACATGTTATTTGAAGTTTAATATTGCTAAACTATATAAGTGTTTACGAAAAAGCAAATAATTTGTTTCTCATCAAATTTATCGACGTTATATTGCTAAACTATATAAGTGTTTACGAAAAAGCAAATAGTTTGTTTCTCATCAAATCTATCGATGTTAAATCTCGAATAGAGTTCTTGTCTCGTTTGAAATAGTTGTTGCTTTCCTCGAGTTTTATATTATCGAGCGAAATAACGAAGATTTATTGGTCGACGTTTCGGGTTATGACAGAGGCATTCTTCAACAGGTTATTTGAAGTTTAACACTAGAAAGACTGAAACTTAGTATATACCTATATTGCCCAAAAGCAGTCAAAATGACTGCATCGTGAAAGATTAACTAATGTGTAAAGAAATTTGTTTAAAATTAATTTTTAATATTATGTTATAATATTATGAATTTAGGGCGCAGAAATAAAATAAACAACTTGTTAGAACAAGTATCACTGCATAAAGATTCGAATAACAAGTACTACTTTAGCTTATTGAGAAACTGTAATTTATCAATAGGTCTGGATTAGGTCTGGGTTAGGTCTGGATTAGATCTGAGTTAGGTCTGGGTTAGGTCTGGATTAGATCTGGGTTAGGTCTGGATTAGATCTGAGTTAGGTCTGGGTTAGGTCTGGGTTAGGTCTGGATTAGATCTGGATTAGATCTGGGTTAGGTCTGGGTTAGGTCTGGGTTAGGTCTGGGTTAGGTCTGGATTAGATCTGAGTTAGATCTGAGTTAGGTCTGGGTTAGGTCTGGGTTAGATCTGAGTTAGGTCTGGATAAGATCTGAGTTAGGTCTGGATTAGATCTGGATTAGATCTGGGTTAGGTCTGGATTAGATCTGGATTAGATCTGGGTTAAGTCTGGGTTAGGTCTGGATTAGATCTGAGATAGATCTGGGTTAGGTCTGGATTAGATCTGAGTTAGATCTGGGTTAGGTCTGGATTAGATCTGAGTTAGGTCTGGGTTAGGTCTGGATTAGATCTGGATTAGATCTGGGTTAGGTGTGGGTTAGATCTGGATTAGATCTGGGTTAGGTCTGGATTAGATCTGGGTTAAGTCTGGGTTAGGTCTGGGTTAGGTCTCATTTACACTGTTGTTGTATTTTGTAAAAGATAATTTTATTAAGATAATTTGGATTATTAACTAATCCAGACCTAACCCAGACCTAACTCAGACCTAAACCAGACCTAAACCAGACCTAACCCAGATCTAATCCAGACCTAACCCAGACCTAACCCAGATCTAATTCAGATCTAATCCAGACCTAACCCAGAGCTAACTCAGATCTAATCCAGACCTAACCCAGACCTAACTCAGATCTAACTCAGATCTAATCCAGACCTAACCCAGACCTAACTCAGATCTAATCCAGACCTAACCCAGACCTAACCCAGATCTAATTCAGATCTAATCCAGACCTAACCCAGAGCTAACTCAGATCTAATCCAGACCTAACCCAGACCTAACTCAGATCTAACTCAGATCTAATCCAGACCTAACCCAGACCTAACTCAGATCTAATCCAGACCTAACCCAGACCTAACCCAGACCTAACCCAGACCTAACCCAGAACTAACCCAGACCTAACCCAGATCTAATTCAGATCTAATCCAGACCTAACCCAGATCTAATCCAGACCTAACCCAGACCTAACCCAGATCTAATTCAGATCTAATCCAGACCTAACCCAGAGCTAACTCAGACCTAATTCAGATCTAATCCAGACCTAACTCAGATCTAACTCAGATCTAATCCAGACCTAACCCAGATCTAGGGTCTGGGTTAGGTCTGGGTTATGTCTCGGTTATGTCTGGGTTAGGTCTGGATTAGATCTGGGTTAGGTACGCCCAAATCGACAATTTATCATGTACTTGTATGTTATCATGTGTTGGTAATCGAAAAAAAATGAAAACTGTTATTTCAATACAGAGTCGAACTGGTCATATAAGAAATTTACTCAATTCAATAATAAGAGTGATTTGATTATTTAAAATTTCCCAAGCAGTCAAAATGACTGCTTTTGACCAATATAGGTATAACACATATACCGGAAATGAAGGAGGGGGAGGTAACTACATTTATTAATAAACGCATTTATATGTTGCGCAAAAAGTCACAAAATTCTAAGAAATTGTGTCATTATATACATAATTGTTTTTCTAATTGAAATTAAAAAGCAGTCAAAATTACTTCCTTGGGCAATCTAGTGTTAATATTGCTAAACTATATAAGTGTTTACGAAAAAGCAAATAATTTGTTTCTCATCAATCGATGTTAAATTTCGAATAGAGTTTTTGTCTCATAGGTTTGGATTGCAATAGTTGTTACGTTTCTCAAGTTTTATATTATCGAGAAAAATAGTTACTTAAATGTAGTTTCTAAGAAAACACTTCCCCTTTGAGTGACCTTTTTCCAAGTGTTCTCGTTAACCCTTTAACCCTTTAACCGTTACAGCGTTAGATTTATGTAACTCTTTCTAGGCTTGCAGTTACCAGTCGTGGCTTTCTGTGAAATTAAAGACGGTTTCTTTTACAGCTTCCTTTCAATCTGTAACCAGAAATGAGATAAGGCGTGACCTATAGATAGAAAGTAATTAGTATCGAGAGGGACATTTCGAAGCACGTGAATCTCCGTCCACGTGGTCAGGCCAGTGACCAGTCGCGAATCATTCTTTTCCTGTAATTTCGTTTCGTCACCGATTCCATACGTTTTCTCTCCAGCGAGCTACGCCTACCGTTCTGAGCCAAAAGTGCGTGTTTCCCAACACTTAATCCAATAGTTAACTTAGTTTGTGTTTGTACGCGTAACTATTTGCGCGTTTGCCTTTTTGTACGCATACCTCACACGCCTACTTAAAATTGTGTGAGTATTTAGGGTGCTTTACAGAAGCAAAGACGATGGTTGTTCGTTAAGTCTTTATTTTGAAACAAGTAGATGACGAGACTCTTGAGTTGTATTCTGACTGAGCGTTGCTTGATATCTGTCTAACAGTGGTATCTTTTAGCGCTTTTCGACTCGGTGAAGTTGTGGTTGGTTGGATTCATTAGTGGAAAGGGCGAGATGGATGGCTTCTTATTGGTGGTGCTTGGTAGGAGGGTGTATCAGGAATGTTCTTGAGGCGTGTCTTAAATGTTTAAATATTTTGGGAAAATGTTTGTCGTTGGGGCAGGTATGGTTTATTGGGGGTGTTTGCACGTGAGGTGCAGCTGTCGAGGAGTCTATGTTTATGGGGACGGTTTTAGTCGCTAAAATGCTTAATTGCCTTGCTTCTATGGTCTGCTTACGGCGACCCTTTTCCAAGCTACCTGCGTTGGACGCAAATATTCGTTGTTATAAAATATCCCGTTCTTAAAAATGATTTCGCTGCGCGACAGTTTGAAATAATGAGTTTTGCCTTTATAATATTCGAGCTTGTGGGATAATCAAATATTTGACTTAGTTTGAAATAATGAATTTTGTCTTTATAATACACTAGCATAATAAAACACTCGACTCAGTTTGAAAAAAATCAATTTTGCCATATATTTCAAGTAACGTAAATATTTCAAGCCTAACAGACATCTCTGACAAAAAATGGCGACATCGTCTCGAGACCCCGGTCCCTTATCGTGGCGGTCGACCGAGCAGCGATTATTTTTAAAATGCCCGATGCCAACCGATCGTTTTGTCGCGAAAATACAAGCTCGTGGAACGGATTCGTCCACGCCAGTCGCCACGGGTCTTTGTCATCCGACGGGAGAAGATATCGACGACAACTTCTTGGGCCACATGTGCGCTCTGCCCTCTTCGTCCCCTCTCTCTCTCGCTCTCTCTCTCGTTCCGCATTAATTCCCGTCGCTTTTGTGTTCGCTTTTTTTCCGCCCCCCCTCCCGGCGTTCGATTCGCGCGGCGATCTTAATGCTTTCCCTTCTCGAGCGTTATCGTCGCACTCGAGACGCGGGACGAGGCTTGGCTATCATGCTTCCGCGCGAAGTATGCTCGTACGATTGAGGACTTTGGTTCTCACGGAGTCCGCGCGACAAAAAGATTCAATTTTCATATGAAATTCTCGATCGAACAGCTGTTTCTCGCAGAAAGGCACCTGGAATTGAGGTTAGAAATCTAAATATTGAGATAAACAATTGCTTTAACGTTTTAACCGGGTGTTAGGGACAATGGGGTATAGTTGATCAATTTTTATTTGGCATTATGGAAGTTATGATGTTTGATGAGATATGCAATTATATCTGTATGATGAGATATCCATTTATATCCACTCCTGGATTCTAGAGGCCAAAATAAGACGAAAATAAAGAATATCAATTTCTTAATTGAGGCTTCGTTAAAAAGTTGTTGACAATTAAATTCAAAAATTTCAAATCGTTCTGAAAAAATTATTTCTAGGTTTTGGGGTTAAATACAATCATTTTTGGTGAATACACATGTCCCCGAATTCCTACGCATTTTCAAGAAAAAAATTCGAAAATTTGTGAAATTTTTCGACGAAATTCAAAAATTTCAAACCGTTCGAAAAAAATTATTTTCATTTAGGGGAGTGAATTGCAATCATTTTCGTTCATTACACATACCCCCGAATTCC